GTATAGACAAGTCACAAGATTTACTGGCTCCAGTAAGTGAGAGAGGTGCTGATGAATTGCAAACACACAGCCGCTAGCGGGTAGTTATATTGTTTGTTTTGTCTATGAAATGTCAGAAAATACTGAAAAAGCCTTTTATAACTCCCCACATCCCAAAGTGACATCTTCAAATGTATTGTTTGCTGAGTACAAATCAACAACAAAAATACTCAGTTTAGCTCCGTGTTGGACAAAAGAAAGCATTAAATCTTCACATTGGACAAACTAGAACCATCAAATGTGTAGCGTAACAAAAAAATAACCAAAATGACTATTGCATTATTGAATTTTTTTTTATATATCTAAAAAGACACAACAAAGCAACGTCATGTCTTCCCCTGTCTGTAATCTAATGTAACCAATGATCAGGGCACGGAGTCCATGCCTCCCCCCATCCCCTCTCTTCATCTCCCTCTGTCTCTGTCAGGACCTTGGGTTGAAGCATTCATCAGAGCGATGGGAGTGTCCGGTGATATCACAAACATGCTGTCATTCCGCTGAAAGAGAGAGAGGTCAGACTGCTGCTGACAGCCTGAATGATCGCTCAATCCTCCCAGAAGCCAAGGTCATGCAGGCATCATCCTCCAAGACACAACAATGATTTGGATCTGAGCTGAATCAGTCTCCTGATTAATCTGTTCATTCAAATAAACAAAAAAATGCCTCGAGCATACAGCTGAAAAAGAAACTGAATGTTATTTCCATGTTGTCCTTAAAATTTTTATCCCCCCCCCGGTGGATTTCACTGTTGTACCAAAATCAAACTGAACACCAGTGTCGTCGCCACAACGGTTGTTGCTGCAAATGAACAACAAAAACATGTGCTTGTTTTGGGAGTTGGCCTGTAAACGCAAACCAGTTGTACACGACTGTACATGAATATTCATCGGTCCATCCCAGCATCTGTGTTTGCATCTGTGCATCTTTGTCTCCCACCTTTGTTCTCGGTGTTATTGAACTAAGGCGTCTGGCATCAGGAATGATAAATGGTGTTTGGCTCTGGTTTGGACTGTTCACCAGATGAGGTAGAAGCGCAGGGATTATATATGATGAGGCTCCCCTCCTTGTCTACCCTTGTTCCAGCTGATTCTTCCCGCAAAACCAGGAAAGCGTAACTGACAGTTAAACAGCACACAACGAAAAAAAACTCCATTTAATCTAGTTGTAAGCCCTACGTATAGATTTCTTTATTTTTTTCCCTTCTTGCAGCTGGAGGACACTGTCTGTCAGTGGGTCCTCTAGTGACAAATGAGCTTCTCATCTGTAGGTATCTTTCACTGCACCTATGCATTGCATTGTTTATTTAATCTAGTGATGAAGCTAAAAGGGATTAAAACAAACTAATTTAATGAAATACCTAATAAAATTGAACCTAATTTTCATAGATTGCATAGAACCAATGATGTGATTTTCATATAGTTTCCCTTATAAACAGTCTAATGCGTGACAAGATGTGGGATGCCAAAACTGAAGCTACAGCAGGTCATATAGGTTTAAAGCAAGGCATGTTTTTCAAGATTTTTCTTGAACCAGTTGAATCATATTGTATGTTTCCGCTGTGCTTAAGGACAGGGGTCAACCAATGCTTTTTTTTTTTCAGGGCCGATACTGATATTGATTGTAAGTAATAAAGAAAACTTAGTTAGAACTTACACATGTTTAATTAAAAGAGACCTTTCAACATTTATCCTTTTGCACCGATTGCCTATTACTCATGACTTATAGCCATTAAGATACCGCTGAGGGTGGTATGTTGCTCAAGACAACAGACTGTTGACGACAGACTACAGGTGGCTGAATTAGAGTTGAAGTAGTGCATTTTATTCTCAGCTGATCATCTGGAAAATACTGAATATCGGATCTGATCAGCAGCCAGGCCGATAACAGGTGGACCCCTGCTTCAGGATATTGACACATTTCTGGAATATTTTTATAAATGTTCCATTTGGTGTCAACCTAAAGTTACCCACTGTTCACTGTCCTGGGAGACTACGCAGGTACAGAAGTGCTTTGGGAAAAATGTGAATGTAGGTAAGCTAACATCAGAGGCAGTGCTGAAGTCCCTCCATGATCACTGATTAAAAACTCATCTCTGTGTGTCAAAGTTACATATTTAGAAGTTTTATCCTTGAAAATGACTTGTCTGCCTTGTATCTCTTCACTGTTTTTTCTGAGGAAGCTGTATATTGTCCCCACCCTGAATGTACACCTTCCACCCCCACACCTCGAGCACACCGGCTCACCGCTCTGCTCAAACACTTGAAAACTCCTCCACACTACACAAATGGCAAGTTGTGTTTTTGCAGTAATTCAGCCGTAAATGCTCGAGTCATGATACAGAAAGCTCCACCCTGCAAGGAAACAGCATTGATTCCTTCGGCTTGCTATGTATGAAACCCCAGAAGCCTTAATCCATGTTTCTGAGACCATCATCGATAGTCTGCAGTTTCATGGTGTGATTACTGAACCATGTTATTATTTTGCTCATGATGCATTTTCTGGCATATTAAAAGACTTCATATGGCAAGAACTTGATTTTTATCAAAGGGGGGTTTTTGCATGCTGATATTGAGCAGGTGTAACGTTTACGATGTTCACATCTCAGTGTGTTAATATTTACTAATTAGCACTCATCATAAAGCGCAGCTGAGGCGTACAGGGCATTCATTCATTCATTCAGTGAACAAATTGCATTTTGACCTCATTGTGGTGCAAGATAAAATGTCACATTATGCCAAAGTCTTTTGGATGCATTGTCTGGAAACTAAACAGCTTAGCAAAGTGGACAATGCATATATAACAATGAAACCATGTGTCAGAATTATTACGTCGTTTGAGACAACTTTTTAAAAACTGAAAGAGCCAAATGGGAGCATTAGCCCATGTGTAAGGATGTTAAAGTCCCAGCAGGCTGTGCTAAATTTCTCCACGGGTTTTTGGACGTATCTTGTCGGAACTTTCTTCTGCAAAGACACAGTAAGAGCAGAGGAGAAGTGTCAGCGCTGCCTGTGATGTATGACCCAGCAGATCCCCTCAGGTCCCTGAGCTCAATGATCAGTATATTGATCAACATGTGTTTTATCACTCCCCTGAAACACACCAACTGTACGTACCCAATCCCACAGAAACCTCTCAGAATCGACTATCGCTATCATCACTGACGATGCTGTTTTTTCTGTCGTCTATGTAAAACCAAGGTCCTCCTCCATCAGAGACTGACCTGCTCCACCTGCAGTCCTGCGTCGTGTGCCAGCCAGGCAGAAAATAGGAGTCGGTCCAGACGTACGCCCAAAACCCAGTGACCATGAGAGATAGAAGGCCCACAAGATGAAGACAGACAGTCAGAGCGGTGTGTAATTACTCTGTGTGTGTCGATGGCCTCTAGGCAATCACACCCAATGCAGCGGAAAACAGTGCACACAGCAAAGCCTAACAGGCCCATTCATGTCCGAACCTTGAGAGTGTTGAGAGGGAAAGAGGGGGGGGGGACATATGTTTGACTGACTGGATGAGAGCAGACAAGAGGAGATGTTCTTTCCTCGGCTCAGATGCCTGCTGCGTTTCAACGCCTGAAGCCAGAGCACAGACACATGTCACCCCACCGTCTGTGTGCCGTGACAACGCTGACAAACCCACGCACCGTTAAATGCATATGTTCATCCGTACACCACATGTTGACGTGCTGCTCATGTGTGTGTTTGCGTGCCATCCTTTCTTTCAAGTCACAAGAGTCCGTGACAGCTCTCCACACATCGGCCGCATGTGCTCCTCCCCCCCAGTCAGCTGAGAGAAGCATTTTGAAGCTTAACAAAAGAATTATGCTCATTGTCTCAGAGCGCGAGAAGCTGCAACCCCACTCCCCGGCAGTCGGGCATGTCTCCGTACCACTGAGTTAAGAGCACTGGATGAATAATGTAGTGCCACACAATGACAGCCCAGATTATGAATGATGCAGTAATACCGGAGGGCGGACAGGAAGCGCTTGACACCACCAGTTCTCGGAGCACCTGGTGCACCTCAACTTCAACAGACTGCGACTTGGCCTCTCTGACAGCTAAGGGACAGGAGAGAAGGGAGGGATTTTTCTTAAAAAGTTAACCTTGAGATCTACACAGTAGTGACTTGTAAATCACCCCGGTGACAACTTGTAAACACAACAAAGTGGAAGGCATGCATATGAGCGCACATGCTCACCCCGCCAGCCGTGCAGGGGAAAGCCCTGATTCAGCTGACAGAGGATCAGGGTCAGAGTCAGCTGATACAAGGTCAGCTTAGCATCATGGCTGACCCCGGGGTGTTCTGGGATAAGTATGACAGGAGCCCTGAGGCTGTCAGACGTGTTTGTCATGCGCTGCATCACACGCAACTAAACTCCATGAGACTATGCTGCAGCCAGGTCAGAAAACCTCAGACTCAAGGGTTTCCTGCTCCTGGGACGAACGTGTGAACAGACAGGTGGACTTTCATGAAAGAGGCAACAGCTGAGAGCCCGGGTGATCTCCAGGAACATGAAAGAGAAGTGCAAAGAAGAGCGAAGGAGCGGATATTGTGAGGGCTCAAGCAACAGCTGTTATGTGGATGAAGAATCCCAATAATGCTCCTTTGTGGATGAACTCAGCAAATGCCACTTTGACCTCCAGATATATTTAGCTCCACTATTCTCTCCAAACCTGCTCCAAGTCTGTTGTAAGGGTTTGGGAGATACTATTTGCAGAGGTTTTCACATCTGTCCAATATAAAATGTTCATTTTTATATGACTGTGACATTTTTTTTGTTTTGTTTTGTTTTTTTAAACATTAAACTCAAACACTGAATATTTAAAATAGCTTATTATCTATAATATATTCCAGTCAAAATGTGGTATATTCTAGGCTACTATTGCTCTGTGGTTATTCTCTCACCTACATGTATTGTCCTTGCGCTTCAAGTGGAGAGATAAAGCGCGCAAGAATGGACTTACCACTGGAACTCATGATGGCCAATGTGTTCTCATCCAAAACAAAGCGGCTCCGTCAAAAAATAATCCCATAAAGCGCGATGAAATCTTCGCGAAGGCAGTTTTATTCCTCCGAAAAAAATTGTGCAATTAAAAATGAATATCCATTAAACGATGCTCCTCACTCTCAGCACTCAACACTGCTCCCAGTCAATTTCTGAGAAGGTGGACAGAGACAGAAAGAGGGGTATAAAAATATAAGAAAAAGAAATATCAGCGAGGATAAATCCCGTAATTAATACAAAACCCGGTGAAATCTCCCCCTCGCTGCTCTGTAAACGTCGGCTGTTTTTTTTTTTTTTTTCCTTTAAATTTTTTTCTTCTTCTTCTTCTTCTTCTTCTGAGAAGCAGTGACAACAGAATGCTGCTCACTCAGATTCCACCTTCACATTTTCGCTCCCGGCTGATCCCAGCTCCGCCGCGCTCCCCCGGCGCGTCACCGCGCGCCTCTCACACGCTGCCAGCGCAGGCTCCGGTCCTCACTTTCAACATAAAGCGAGCACGATTACACTAATACGAACAATAATAATAGTACTAATAATGCTAATATTAATAATATTAATAATAATAGAAATAAAATTAATAACAATATCAGCAAGTTGAAGAGCCTCTTTGTGCTTTGCATGTTTCTTTAATGTATAAAAGGTTATTAATCTTTATCTGAGTTCTGTGGTTTGGTGGCAAGAAAGAGTTGCAACTACCATTTTTAAAAATTAATTAAAAAAAAAAAAATTAATTAATTGATTAATTGGTATATGAAACATCAGAAACCGGTGCCAAAAATGCCATTTACTGTTTCTCAAATTCCAAGCTGGCATCTTGTACTATGTTAATCTGTCTGACCAACAGTCCAGAACCCAAAATAACACGTTTTATAATGGAAAGATCTAGAAATGCTGCAAATCCTCAGGCTTAATTTTAATTATTTTTACTTAAAAATTACCTAAATGACCAAGACATATCAAAATAAAACAGACAGATCTACATATTTTGAAAGTTGTTTCTGAAAGAACCTGCTTTTGCTAAAGTTCTTTAAAGCGACACTTATGGTGCCGAAAGGAACCATTTTTCATGATTCTTTAAGAAACCTTTGTGGACTCTGTAAAGAAACATTCAAAGATTTATGTTTATTGTTATTATTACTATTCTTTCTGTTTTGAATTCTTGCTCAAATGTCCTTCGAGGAGCTAAAAAAAAAAAAAGCACCATCTTTTTATAAGGACACTTTTAAAATCTGTTACAAAATGCTTTACAAGGAGGCAAAGTTAAACAGATGTGTCGTAAAATCATTAAAACAAAAGGTTTCCGCTGACATAATTAGCTTTGTTGTTGACCTTTACCAACTATATTAACATTAAGAACTTTGACATATCAAAAACAAATCCCACAGGGGTTTGTAAATAAAATACATGTATAAACCAGCTTGCATTGCCTATTTAGATAAACAATGCACTGCTTAGTTGTTGTTGTTGTTGTTTTTCTTTTTTAAGTCTAAACATTTATGTTAATACTTACTCATTCATATACTCCTGACCAAACCTTAGTCATAGTACCAAAGCCAAGGTCCCTTACTCTGTCTATTCATATCAAAAGACCAAAATTAAACTCTCTAATGACATGTTTATACTGTTCATCTATCTATTTATATACATATCTATTTATATATCAGCATGTTCCCATAACTCTGTTCTTTGTATTAATATTGCATCATAATGTATATATTCATCCTGCACATACTGTAGAAATTACTTATTTATCTTGAATATTGATGGCTGAGAGGACTCAGATGTGCTGTTAATGCTGTTAATACTGTTGATACAGCTCGTACTGTACATATGTCAGTACATTCATTCTGCCCTTAAAGATCTTTCACTCACATTGAACTGAACTTTTACTGTTTCCTTTGCAGAGGATGAGCTGCATGTCATTGTTTTGTAATAATAATAAAGTTGAAGCTGATCTAACCTATGCAGATTTTGAACTGGTACATGTGTTACACTTGTGCATTAATTTGAAAATTTGACAAGTTCATTTTATAAGTCGCAAAAAATTACTTTTCAAACGCTGGCTTCCAAATAGTCTTAAAACAAATAAAAAATCACCATCATAATCAAGTATTGTGCTCACAATGTCATCCTTTGCAGCCAACCTGTCATGGATGGACCATGTTTAAACAGCCAACGAGAACTTCTGAAGGGAATGTGTAGGAATTCCTTGTGATGTTATTGTGAAAGTGAAGCATCCTCCTTCCCGGTGCTGCTCTGGCTCACTGTGGGCCACTTGATTATTCTGTTTTTATCCCGGGTTAGCGACGTCACTCTGGGCTGCTGTGCGCGCTTTGGGGACACTGTACCCTACATCACACCGCAAGAAGTCTTAAATGCTCACAAGTCCTCAGTCCTAATTCATTTTTCACACCAAGTGGGGGCTTCACGAGAGATCCTCAGTGCCTGAAACATTTTAGAATTAATTTAAGAATTAGTCAAACCACCTTTATATGAAATTGGTGACATTGATCATAATAAAAGAGAACTATAATGAATATGTGAAGCAAATTTGATTAAAGGAGCCTGGAGAGGATTTATCAAACGACTTGTTGGTGTTTTTGCAGTGCTGGGTTGGGCTTGTTGCTAAAACTGTTATGACACCGCCCTCTTCTGGAAAACAGACGTAAGCAAATTAGTTAATTGGATTATTTACGGTGGAGCTGCTGCTGCCCAGGAGGAGGAGGAGGCCAGGTTAATTATGAAACTGTTGACTGGCAAGCTGTTGTGATTTACTGCCGAATCACAATGGGGTAATCGCCTTAACTGGCCTGTGAAGCTGTACCCAGATATCACAGCTGAGTGTAAATCAGATTTATAGTCATGAAAACAGAGCTGTCATTCATGCATTCACGGCTCAGTGTTGTGTTTGTTCAGTGGTATCAGCGTGGAAAGATCTCCATCTAATGGTGAGACACCCATTTTCTACAACTATTAGTCAGACAAAAACTAAGTGAGGTGGGTCAATACAACAAAAGGTCAATGACCTGACAAATTAAACAACATCAAGACTGTGAGAAAACAAGGGAGCAGGTTAATAAGCTCGAAAACGAAAGAATAAATACTTTGATAAAGTACAAAGGAGGCGAAACTGTGCAGATAAAATCTAGTGAGAGATTATGTTGCAGTTTCTTCCTGGATTTAATTTCAATTTGGGTTAAAGTCAACAAGCAAATTGGCATTCAAAGTGATTTTTTTTAGACTGCAGTGGCGCAGTTTGCCGAGTTGTTGCTGCATGTATTTCCTTGAGAAAAGAAGAACAGAAGAACAGAAGAACGATCCGCACACCAAACAAGCTCCCTTTTACAATTCATTGGCGTGACGTTTCGGCAGTCTGAGGAAGAGCATTTTGCTCGAAACGTCACGCCAATAAATTGTAAAAGGGAGCTTGTTTGGTGTGCGGATCGTTCTTCTGTTCTTCTTTTCTCATTTTTGACATTTTGTGATCCAGCACCCAACCCAGTGGGCCTCGGGGATGTGCGTGTCTTTCCTTGCAATGGAATACGAAGAAAAGAACAAGGCAGCAATAACAATCCCATCCACTCATTTCAGGATTTCCATATCATGTCACAAACTCTAAGTCCTGTGTTCCTTAGACAAAACAGCTTATAGAGAGGAGCAGGAATCCCTCTAACTTAACCTGGAGATTAGTCTACATTCTATAAGATGACCAACGAGCCTCTTTAAGCTAAAACACAACCCCAGGAAGGCTTAAGTCCATATATATAGAGCATCACATTGATATAAAGAGTAGACAACCTGTAGCTGTGATCACAAAAGCAGTTAGTTTCTCTGAATATGGATAAACATGTGTCAAAGATGATTATGAAAATATGAATAAATAACAGCCTAAGAGCTTTGAATTGGTTTTACTTCTACTACTTTGAACTTGATATAGGTTCAGTTGACCCTTTAACACAAATACGATCGGTATTATGTTTGTGTGTGCTGTTTTATTAAGCTGTGTGTGTCCTGTTTTATTAAGTTAACAGACTGCCTCGTCCCCGTGTCCTGAGGAAGCCCTGGTTCTGAGGCCTTTAGGAAGCTGGACAATGGCGGGATGTGAGGGGCGCCTCACTCTTTCTCTCCGCTGCCCTGTACAGTCTTACCTCTCTGGTCGTGGGGTTCAGTAGTTTTACATGATCTTATTTTGTCCTTTAATCTCGTTTATTATCTCACAGAGTTAGGTTTATCTGCAAGCTTTGTAAAAACTACAGTGTGGACTTCAGTGAACGAGAAGTGGATTGCATATTATTAAAAACAAACAGATTTGCCAGTGTGGAGAACGTCCGTTTACGCTTGAGCCAATTAAATCATCATCTAAGGCTGCAGGTTTTCTGTTAACAATCATTTATCAGTAATTGCGCAATGATAAATCAAATGAAACAAACATCAACAAAACTGTCCTAGATTCCAGCAAGTGTGTTTGTTTACTTCTGCAGCTCAGGTCAAGGCTGATTATGATTGTTATGGGTAATGATTTACCTAAATGAACTGTTCCTGAGGGTTTGTGCACGAGTGTGACAGTGTGTAGGTGGCTGCTCTGTGTGCCTGACGTGTGCCGGGTGCTGATTGTGCTCCTGTGTCAATCCCGCATTGTGCTTTTGTCCTCCAAACTGATGGGGCAGAAAAACAGGAAGCCGGCCTTCCTGTGCACTGAAGGCAGCGGGGCAGCAGGCCGTCAGGTCAGCGCAGTGTTGTCACTGTCTGCAAAGGCGCCAGTGCCCCCATAATCGACAATAAAGGCAAACATCCCCCCCTTGTGTGTGTGTGTTCTCTGGAATATTCCTGACATCACTCTGCTCCTTCTCATGGAAGCTGTTTCTTTAAGTGTGCCGAGCAGCAGTCAGCACAAATGATGGCCCACATGAACTGCTGAGCACATGACAGAGACATGATCGGGATTTTGTCGTAGTCTGAATGTATTGCTGCATTGTTTTGGGCCTAATCATCCACTCAGTGTTTTTTTTTTTTTTTTCTGTTGGAGGTTTTGTTTGTCAGTCACACTGAGGTCATATGTCCACCATCGATACCACTGATCAGCAGAATGCTGCGTTCCTCTCTAAGTCTCACAATCCTCTCCCTTTGTCTGTCCACATGGTCACAGGAAAGTACGTGCACACAATTCACCACTCTGTAATGCAACACTACTGTCTCCACCCATTCCTGCCTATTTGTAATTTGTTGCTATTTAATACACCCACATTCCCTCTCTTTTCCCCCCAACACACGCCCACGTTTGCAAACAGAGCAGATTAAATGGACTGTGTCCTGCAGCCTTGCATAGCAAATTGCATGATCGCATGTGCAGTGCAGGGCTGATATTCTGTGTTCAGGGTGACTTTGTCATGGTGCACTGGGGGCTGGGAATACACAATCAGTTCCAGAGTTTATATTTAACTAAGCAGGCAAAAAAAAACAAAAAAAAAAAACATGAGAAACCAAAGCAAATGCCGGCCTGGGGATTATTATCTTCCCGCTCACAGATAGGGATGGACATGACCCAGAAAGTGAATGACGAGAGGTCGCCGCTCTTATATCCCCTTTGTTTGTTTTGCTTTTTTTACAATGTCACACAACACACAGACGTAAATACTTGACATCTACAGGCATTGCAGTAAATTCATTGGAATGCTGGCAGTGTGGGTTCGACTTGACAGGCAGGACTTTGTAAATGCGCTACACCTTTGGAATGAAGACGAGCGATTCCTCAGGTATGGACTCAACAATTGTTCAAGCCAGGTGAATGTTTGTGCTTTTAATCTGCTGTCATCTCTGTGGGGGTGTGCGTCACACCAAGCTGGTGCAACCGGTGTTGCAGAATGAGGAAATGCTTTGTGTGTTATTGTGCTTTTGCTGTTCTAAATTGGGAAGCGGCAGCAGATAATTACAAAGGTTCAACAGCTTTAAAAAGACACATTAAAATATATTTAGGACTTCCACCTTACGAGCTCTTTTCATTGGTTCTTGTCGGCTCATGTGTTATCAGATTTTGAAGGGTGAGTGTGCATGGGGGATTGGGGTGAGTTAGAAACAGAGAGAGAGAGAGAGAAGAGGAGGCCGTACCATTGTCCCAAAGCCATGATGGGAGGAGTTAGAGCAGAAAACTTCCTCAGTCACTGACATGCTGACTTGGATTGCCTCTGCAACACACACACAGACACATACACCAGCACACTCCCACACACTTTCTTTCTCTTATTTTCTTTTTTTTTTTGGACAGTGGAGAATGACAGCAGTTTCAGCAGCTGTCATGACATGCAGCTCACCAGTTAAACGGTGAAACTACGCACACTCACACAAAGTGATATATAGACACATTCTGCCACGCACACGAGGAATGAATTGAGAGAGGAGAGCTGGCAGCAACGCAGAGGTAAGGGTGCTTTTTTTTCCTGCTTTTAATGCTTTTATCTCCTCCTTGAGTCTCACTGTGCCATAAACCTACTTCTGTTTAGCAAACACTGCTGCACTTTGTACTTCGTCACATAACCGTAAAGTTGCTGTCAGCCAAGAGTGCACGGGATAAACAGTGCATCTGTAAATGGGCAGTGATTTTCAAGTAGTGATTTCAGTTCCTTATTCTTTTCACTGGCGGTTTGACAATATGTCTCCTGAGCAGCAAGTAAACAGACTTTCAGTAAATGACACTCTTCTAATGTGTCCCTATTTCACTTGGAATAAGTGGAAGAATGTCAGACCGTGGATATAAAATTGAGCTATCCTCAAAAGCCTGAAGAATCTGCAATTACACTTCCACAATGTTTGTTTCAGAGTTACAAATGCCGCTATGCAACAGTGTGGGAATCTCCCTGCAGGGAGCTCTACCCCAGACACACAGGCATGTGAGTGAGCTAACAGGGGGTTAGTCTAAACTTAGAGCCCATACCCCCTGTCTCATATTACTCTCTGCTAACTCTTCTTCAACATATTCTAAACCTACAAACCCACATTGTACATACTCACACATACACACTGAGACACAAACACCTCAAACAACCCGTGCTTGTCATGCATTTGAACACAGCCCAGCCAGTGCTGACACCATATGTTTCTCATTAGGTTGAATGTTATTGTCATGGACCGCCGAGTGTCACAATTGTAGTCCCGGCATTTTGCTGTGGCTTCAGACTGTGCGGAGACTATAAGGTCGTTTATGGTATGCGGTCAATAGACTCGACAATCCCTGTCATTACAAGCAATACATTAAGTGTTTAGTCTGTAATCATGCGCATTGTTTGTCAGAGACTGAAGTAAAGTTGTGCCACAGCGTGCACTCATTCAAAAGAGGAAGGGTTTTGACGCTGCAGCTGCCAGGAAACAGCAGCTAGATCCACAGGTGTACCATAAAGAGGATATTGTGGCTAACACAGCATCACTAAACAGATTGTATTGTTTTATTGACAACCGTTTGAGTCAAAGTGGGACAGATAGTGACCCTTGTGCAGCTTTTGCGGCTAACAAAGACCCGTGACTGCACATATCAGCCTTGACAAGTCTATGTTTATTAGATTAGACATCTGTTGCACTATGAGAAACAAGCAGGGCAGTCAAGAGAGTGTCAGGATATGCTCTGACATGCCTTCAGCCTGTTTACAGCCTCACGAGATACACATGCACAGATTCAGTCTTGACCATTCAGCCGCCATACAAACAAGATGAAGACGGTGATCTCAGACAAGCGGATCTTGACCTTTGGTTTCCTGAAGCAGTGCAGCGAGCTGGGCTCAGAGGAGGAAGAAAACTTCATGCATTTCTCCATGCATCAGTGATTACATGCAATGGCAGTTGACAAAAGTCATGTAAGCCGTGAGCTGTTTCCATCACCACGTCAAATTGATGTTTTCCTTTCTGTGTTAACCGTATAATAAGCAATGCGCTGGACTGCTTCCAATCTTGACAGATATTTCTAAGCTTATATTCATGCAGTTGTTATGCATTAAAGAGTTCAACATATTTATATACACATTTTCCTAAAAGTGATTATTTTATTCTCTGCTTTATACATGTACGTTTTTGATATAACTGGCGAGGTTTTTCAAACTTTGGGTTGAGGTTGAAAGATATTTATATTTAAGACAGGATCTAATGAAAGATGTTATGAGTTGCAGCTGCACTAAATCTAGTGTCCAGTGCTTTTGGAGTTTGACTCATACAGAACCCAATTACTTTATCATAAACACAAAAAATTAGGAATCTTCTACTTTCAAATTTTCTCATTTACAGCATTTAAATACAAAGATAGTTTAGTTGTGCAAATCCAACCTAATGTTTTGTATGAATTGATAAAATTTGAAATGTAATATTGATTGTTATATGTCAGTCTGCAGGGGCAGATAAATCAAAGATTGTTTTACCACCAGTTGGATGTATATTTAGAGGCCTACTTTCCAGTTTTGCTGTATCCACCTAAATGTTAAAACAAATAATTGCAACCACATTTGAAAACTTAAAAAAAAAACAACTATAAAAACATTTTTAAAAATTTCATAATATAATACATTTAAGACTTCTACTTATTATCTGATAAAGTTCAGTGACACTACATGCTAAACTAATATGCTATTAGCCTAATCTGATTTGTAACATATCCTAAAATAATCACTACTGTGTGTACAATAAACCAGTACTGTAAATAGACCTTTCAATTTACTGTTCATCGTATTATATTGGTTTGTCACTGCATTCAACAGGTTATTTATAGCAGTTTTAAGACTATTTGTGAATGAGTGTGAAAATAGTGTGACAACTGGATGTCACTTGGAGTTACAAACGTACAGAGAATTAGCAAATACATGTGTAGCTAACCTCAGCAGAGTTTCAGCTAGTTGTTTGCTTTCCGTTGCACAAAGTTACAGCGTCGTTTCGCTCTGACCATTCTCCTGATGTCACTTTTGGTTGCAACAGCCAGCTGTTTTGCTCACAGTTAGCAACTGGATGCATCTGGTCTAACATTTAGCAGCGTTTCCCCCAGGGCTAAGTGAGGTCAAAAACAAGTTGTTTTCATTGCCACCAAATGACCAAAAAATATGTTCTTGCAGCTTTAATTAAAGGGAAAGAAGACAAACACCCTCAGTAATGTATTATTATGACACACTCAGATCAGGAACACCACACAACTCCCAATGTAGCATTAAGTTTTGGCTCCAACTAAACAGTTTGGTATCACTGCAGTGTTCATGTGCTGGAACATTAATGTCCAATTACCACCGTCCAACTCGAGGCCTCTGTTGAAAAGAACATAATAGATATTTTATGAATAAATTCACACCCTGAATGGAGCCATACTTGTATAATAGACTATTTCCTTCTAAGATTGTAAAGGGTCACATAAGGTCAATGATTCTGACCTTCCTATGGCAGCACATTTTGTTGGCTCTACATCCCCTTTAACATCACAGAGGTGAGCAGTCAGAACCTTCATGAGCTCTCTCGCTGTGCAATCTCCACTTTCCACACCCGTCCTTTCCTTCATAGTGACCTCACAGTGTAGAACCGATGCTCTCCGGCTGTGCTCATTGTCATATCTGTTACCCATCTGATGGTGGAAAGCAGAGCTGAGTAAAACTCTGCGCTGCAGATAAACTGATCCTCGATCTGTGCGACCCAGCATCTCTCACCCTCACTTTGCTGTGACCTTGCAGCCTGTCCCTCTCGTGGCATTGCCTTACAGCGGATCAGCAACACACTACACCATCGACAAAAACAAAAGACACAAACATTGTCTTTGTGACACACATTCTGGGCATATTTTCACTGACCCGAACACACACACACAACACATAGGGAAACTCTTACTTAGGCCTGCTCCCCCCCCTACACACACTCATACCAATCACAGAGTGCTTTGTGCATTCAGTGACTGGCTGGGCAGCTACTGAAGAGAGAGAGAGACAGAGAGAGAGAGAGAGAGACTGGTGGGAGGGGGAAGATGGAGACAGCAGCAAGAGACAGAAATATTACAAAGAGAAGCGGACAGACAGAGATGAGATAAGGCTTGCAGGGGGGGACAGTGGAGACACATCCAGTCAGTAGCTAACTGCTGGAGAGACAGAGTGAGCAGGGCAGGAAAGGGAATACAGAAATAGGAAGGGAACCGGGGCTTGTCCACCAGAGAGGAAGAGAGTGAGTTGTTGTTAAAGAGGCTGAGGGGAACTGATGGGATGGCATTGATCTCTGGGAGCAGCCGGCTCTTGGGCCAGATGGCGTCTTGTTGCTGCAGACCGCTCCTCAACTCCTCCTGTTGTGGACCGCTCATCAAAGTCTGCCTCTCCTCCTTCACAGGTCGGTCCCACCTCGCTCTCTGTTGTCCGCTGTCATGAGACGGGCTGCTACGTTCAGATAGGCAGGAGCTTAGGTCGATATGCGACATGGGTAACACACTTAGCCAAGAAGGTAAAAAAGGGCATGGTGTGTCTCTGCACTGTAGCAGCATGACTGTGCTCGTGTTGACTCAAGCAGTCCTGTTGGTGCTAACCGTGCTCTGTGTTGTAGGACGGAAAGAATAGGCTGTTGTCCTCTCTGGCATAATGTCATGTTGCATATTGTGTTGCTAAATTGTGCGCCCCATTGTCTTGTTGGGAATGCTTTGCATCAAGATAATAATGTCCTGTTGTGTTTTGTTGTTGCACTGACAAAGCATGTTGAAAATAAAAAATATAAAAGTGGCACTCTAATCAAAAGTATTTCTGTTTGTATCTGGTTGCTTCCTTTTGTCAGTGTAAAAGGCGTTTGATAGTGTGACCACACTGACATGACTCTGAGGAATCAGGGGCAGGGCAACTGTGTGTGAAGTTTGTTCTAATGTCAGTGCAGTTGTGTGTCTGTGCCGGGCCCTGTGTGGGTTCAGCGTCATTGTATCCCCCCCCCTCCAACGACTCATCAAACTAACCAATGGCTCAAACTTGGCGTTTTCAATATAAACTGCTGCACTTGTCTCCCCCCAGTCATGTTAACACTCTCCCCTATCAAGAAAAACTAATTTTCTTTGAAAGGATGGTTGGGCTTTTTGAGAAAAAACCTTTACTGTATATGTTTTCTTGCCACGATGACAAGACTGACACTGCTTTCATGTCTGTAGGGTAAAGCTACTGTCAAGGAATAATGAACTTGGCTTGGTTAAACACTGGAAACAGCAAGACTGGTGAAAAGAAGCTTCACTAATTATCTATTGTTTGTCTAATCTGTACAAAAGCCTACCTATAAAAACTAATTATGCACATAATAACTTCCAAGAGTCTCCATTGGTTACCTGGTGACTGCTCCCTGCCAAGAAATAGTCTAGCTCATAAGCAAACCCTTGTAACACTTTGGTTTTTGTAATATATTATGTTATTGAGCTTTAGGGGTAGTGATGCGCAGATTTTGCCCTGTTTGGATTGAGCAGCACGTTCATTATGCTAAGCTAACTAGCTGCAGGGTGTAGCATCACATTTACCGTACAGACGTGAGAGTTGTGCGAGCGAGAAAGCCAATATGCACATTTCCCAAAAATGTCAAACTATTCCTTTAAGATGCACTGGTGTGATATTTGACACTGTATAGTAAGTAACTGATGACTCATCGATTGAAAGGCAGAATAAAGAGTCTAAATGTGATTTTTTTTTTTGTTGTATCACTGATCTGTTTCCCTTTTCACAGACATCTCTCCTGCAGAGCTGGATGCTCTTTGGAGGGAGCCGCCGTACACTCTGAATGAACACTTCTCTGGCAATGACAACATGACTCAAGGTATAGTAGCTGATCCAGATGCCCTGGACCTCTCAGTTAATTTGAAACCATAATATTATAAAGTTTTAGTTTGGAGTATGAAAAGCTTGTTAGGTCCCTGTGAGAGGAAGCACTTCTGCTTTCTCTGTGGTCAAACCGAGGAAGTGTTTGGGATATCCTCCCTGCACAATGGAACAAACTAGGGGAAGCCCGTCACTACTATATTGTAAAAAAAAGTAAAAATAAAAAAAATACAACCACCTATTATAATGTGTGCATCCATGTGGCTGATATTTATAGAGTTTGAAACTATTAAGATGATGTCCATACACTGAGATAAATAGTCAAAGTATTGGATAAATGAATGGTTGTATTAGCCAAAAGCAGAAGATAAACACATACATTGTTGACTAAAAGCAATGGATTAATGACCGAAAGTCTAGTTTCTGACACTTTAATTGGCAGGACTGTAGAATGAATGCACAACACCCTTCGCTGGTGTTTGGATGCATTAAGAAATAACATTAATTTCCATAATATATACAGTGGCAAATAACATCTTGTTTCAAACAACTGAAATGATCTCATTTGGAATTTATGACTGGTGTTGCCACTAAGGAAATATTTGAGCAATGGTGGTTCGTTCAAGAAAGAGATTGGAAGCTCTAAATCACATGTTCGGCCTGTCTAAATACCAACCACAGATATTGTTTTGTTAAATGGCACCAGTGATTGCTATCTTATGTCATCTGGTAACATTTGCATCGTTTAAATCTCCACGTCAGTCTGGGACTTGGATTACAGCCTGCTTTAAACAGTCCTTGTGATGACCGCTTTGATAAAATAGTTTCAACAAACGACACACCTGTCCTCATCACACAGATAAAATCTACAAACAGAATACTGTTTAGGAAGCACCGGCTCAACCAGTGACAGACTGAGTTATGTCATGCTTTCATTTTGACCGTTATTCAATGAAGGTGACCATCTCAACTCAACCCAGCAACTGTTTTCCTGATGTTTCCTCTTGTAGGAGCTGTTGAAGAGGAGGACGGTCCTGGAGTGGAGTCAGGTGAAGGTGGAGTGGAGTCTGATAGCTACTGGAAGAAGAAAGAGGCTTTCCTTAGAGGAAGCAAAGTGTCATTGGGGGAGAAATTCTCTTCAGGTACAATTCACGATGGACTCCCCACAGTCCATCGCTTGACTTGTCTTTCAGCTGGAAAACTAGCTTCTTTGTCATCCAGTCATGACTAGCAGTATTTCATATAAAAAAAGAATTTCCCATGGTTATTACATTTATGCATACTGATGAGGTGCATTCCCCTGTCTACTAATGTTTTACTCACTCAGCAGTTTAGCTTCATCCATCACATTCCCCCAGGTTCTTCCTTTCAAATGGATGTAAATGGCCACACTGAGAGTCCAGTAAGAGGCCTAATAGCTTTGTTATTCCTCCAGGGACTCACATTGTGCTCACAAAGCATCTCACTGATACATAAGCTCTCAAGGAAAATCTTTAACAAACTCTTGAAAGTTTTGTCTCACTTGCTCGTAGAGACAAATTTCATCTCAGGTTGTTTTATTTTTTTTTCTTTCACTTATTTGCCATAAATTTGTTTTGATTCTGTCTTATTTCACTACGCTACATGCTTTTGGTCTTTTCTTGCTAGAAATTGTGCTGTTGTTCACGGGGCGGAGGCGCTCCAGTGCGGATCCTGACCGGGCCCTACAGGAGGCGCTGCGCACTCGACTCCGAGTGGTGGAGAGCAACAGCCAGGACGTCATACAGCTCTTTAAAGTGAGTGACCCGACAGTGCAGAGGTTACACAGACTTTACTGCACTTTTAAACATTCAGATATGATAAACCACAATGATGAGTCCGTCTGATGAAGTGTGATGTATGATACTGTGCTGTGCTCTTTATAAAGATAGCTAAATGCTCTGTTATGTAAGATGAGTTGTTGTTTCTGCAGGACTTGTCTGCACGTCTGGTATCTGTCCACGCTGAGAAAGATAGCTTTGTGCTCACATTCAAGACTGTGGAGGAAATCTGGAAGTTTTCAACTTACTTATCATTAGGTAGGACTGAGCGGAATCCTTTAGGACAACATTTTGATCTCTGTGTTGTATTTCTTTTCCCATATTATCATTACAGTGTTGGTTTACTTCTTTGTGGTGGTATTTCAGTTGGGCTGCATGTGCTCTGTCCTAGGCTATGTGGCTCGTTGTTTGGAGAACTTCCTGTGCGATCAGTCGTTCTGGCTGGACGCAGAGCTGCTCAGTGACTTGGAGATCAACGTAACAGTGGATGAGGAACATCTGGCCACCCTCTACCTGGGACTTTTACTCCAGGAAGGTCAGTGGTGTTGCGAAGCACAGTCCACAGTTGATTTTAATGGACTATAATGAATGTTTTTGTGGTGTCAACAAGACACCAAGTAAAAACAGAGGGAGTGAAAAAAGGTGATCTTCCCTGAATAAAACTGATCTAAACGTGCAAATAGAAATCAAATCCAGTCAATCAAACTGGGATTCAAAAGTTTAACTCTAATCTTTACTCCAGACTTTAAAGCTCCTCTCTTTATTTCAAAAACTCAAACAGTTACTGACATTGCAGCGAAAGACTTTGGAAAACTTGAAACTATATTTAAAGAACTCATTGTCAGAGGAATCTTGTATATGGACACTTAATTATCTATTAAGTGGCTGCAGCTGCCTTTTGATCCCATTATTTTTAATCCATTTATTCCCGACCCCAATTAACTTCATGAACAGACTGATGCACAAATGGGTGTTTTATATTTAGTTGAGGAGCTTTTCTGCTTTACTCTGAAAAAAAAAAACCTAATCTCTAAAATATGAAAGACTTCTAATTAAGTCAGTGTTGTTTTAGACCTGCTGCTTGACATACCTTTGCATTGTAAAGATTTTCCACAGTTGGATTAACTTAAAACCAGACCTCAAGATTGCATCGGATTTTGTTAATGTTTTGCAAAATGAGTTCTGCTGAAGCAAAACTATTGCACTACTTTCCACTGAGAATGTTTATTGATTTCCCTCCTGCCTGGTCTACACAGACATCCTTACTTTCTCTTGAACGTTCCCCTTAGGCAAAAAGCTTCACGGAAATGTATAATAGGACTGCAGTGCTGGCAAATAGTGATGAGAATTACATTAACTTAATAGGGGGAGGATATAAAACATCCATCATTTGCTTGTGACTGAATGAGGGCACAACAGCTGCAGCAGTTTTGCCGATCTTTACCTTAAGCACAGCATCTCTCATCGACACCAAAAACACTGTCTGGATGTATACACGTGTATTTATACCGTCTGTATATGTTTGCGTGGAGCTTTGCAGAAGCTGAAGCATTCTACTGATAAATCTTTGCAGGCTCTTTCTTTGCCAAGGCGCTGTTTACAAGGAGTGAGCAGGATGAGGAAGACGAAGAGCAGCTGTCGTTCAAAAAGAACGACCTGCTGATGGTGAAGGACACCGGGCAGGACAACATGTGGGAGGGCACCATGCTGTCCACGGGAAATCACGGCCTGGTGCCAGTAAACGCCACGCAGCCGCTGCCCTACCCCTTCTACCAGTGAGTCACTTCATGTTGCTCAATTAGCCCCTTAAGTGATCGCTTCCTTGATTAACACATTCTCTTGTGGTGGGCATCTTTACACAGTAGTTGGTATAGTTTTGCTAAATTATACTTCCTGTTTGGTCAGGTGGTTCCTGAGGAAGTACCCGGGCCACGCTGGATGCTCACTCACGGAAAAGGAACCGTTTGAACATTCTATTGGTAAAGCTGTTCTGCATATTATGTAATGTTCACACAAAGAACATAATTTACTGTGATGCTTAAAAACAAATATGGGAGGGGAGGATTTATTGCCAATTTATTGCCAAATAATATGGCTTTAGGAGATGGTTGGGAAGGAATTTCACTAAAAGCTTTTTTTGTCTCGGCATGGACTTTGATGGAAATGGATGTCAAACGATGAGGCCAAGTTAACACAGTTGGATTCTTAAATGTCTTTTGTATAGACTGAGTAAACGTTGGAATTTATTTTACTAAAAATACCTCCAACCTGTCTATACTTTAACTTTTTTAAGTATCCTGTTCGGTCCTTGTTATAGCTTAAGGTCATCCTGTTCTGTTACAACAATTTCCCTGAGGTTTGCACCAAAGGGATCAATAATGTTCTATTCAATTCTTGGTCAGACAATGTGCTCCATTTTTGACCCGGAAACGTTCGTCTCTTTTTTCCCTTATCGTATTCATCTCATCACCTCAGTGACAGGTTCATGTGTAGCCATCGTTGACTACAGTCCAGGTGGCCCAGATGAGCTCCAGCTGAGTCAAGGAGATACTGTGGAGATCCAGGGTCTGCTGCTCCGGGGCCTGGACGTTTTCATAGGAAGACATGCTTCCACGGGACACACTGGCTTCGTACACAAGGCCCACGTCAAGCCCCTGAACACCTCACCGCTGTAAGAAGTTCCATTTCTTTCATTTATAATAACTATTTTTAACACGCCATGACTTGCTCTTGCTCATTTCATTATGTTGTGCGTCATTTTGACTTTAAAGCGCTTCGTCGTAATCAAATCCACATTCATTATGATTTATTTTAAGTCTATTGCTTGTCGTTAATGAAATCCTGTTTAGTGTATCTGCAGTCTGGATGGGGTGGATGGGATCATGAGGTTGCGGAGATAGCAGAAATGACAATGCTGCCTTTGTCTCCCTCGCACAGAGATGAACAATTGGTCTTTCTGACTGAGGAGGAGAAGGCCAGCCTGGCTCAGGTTAACCCGTGTAGCTCTGAGCCAAGTGACAGCAGTCTGCTGGAAAGACTCTTCTCGTCTGACATCAGCTCCGTGTACAGGCTAGGTAAAGGGATCACTGGGATGATGAAGAGATATTCTTTCAGGAAATGGAAAGGAGAAGAGTTGTGCCACATAACTGAAATATAGGTCATGTTTGGTTTCATGTGCAGCTTCTGTTTGTTTCTTAAATAGTTTGTGATTCATTCTGTGAGGAATAGTTTCCATTTTCTACTCCCCACTGGAACATTGATGCTTAAATTGATTTACCTTGTGTGTTTCCAGATAGACTAGATGACACTGATTTCATGTACATCAGGAATCGACCAAAACATGGTAAAATTATCATTTTACTTATAAGCTTAAAACTTCTCTGTTCTGCGCTGATACACTGAAGTACTTTATTTGTGCTTTATTTGTCTTCTTTACAGATCACAAGGGTCTTACAAGCGCCCGTCAGAGCGTCATGTCGGAGAGAAGCGGTGGGACACCCCCTCTCCAGTCCTCCCCTCGCACATCTTTCTCTCAATCCTCCCTTCATACGTCCCTCTATCACTCTCACAATCCTCTGCCGCGAGAGGGAGAGCGACTGTCCTTCACTCTGGAAGACACATTCAGAGAACTGGACGAATTCCAGGAAGATCCTCCTCTTTTCTTGGAAGAGAACAGCTGGGACGGGGAGGAGTCCGAACTCAGTGACCCGACACTGACCCTGCTCAATCACCAACACTTCCAGGTCAGGCCAGGTCTTGCTTTTTTCTATCTGTTAATCCATCGACATTTGAAGTCAATGATGTACAAATAAGAATTTTATCTGAGTAGCTTTATGATTGGAATGCACAACACTGCATGGTCGGTAGTAAAAACATTATCAGTGTACTTTGGTCTGCACGTTTCCTCCACTACCATATTTGTTCTTGTTTTCAGCTCACTTCCTGGTCTGTAACTCCTGAACCGTTTCATATATAAAAACCACAGGGGTCAGCACAAGTTCAAATTTGCATTATTAAAGTCATTATTTAAACTATTTGTGAAAAAAACTACTGTATGCCCAATGCAAACACAGAGACCACAGAGAATCATAGCAACTCTGCAGTTCTCCTCAGCGTATTGTTTTGGTTTTACAGCCTACACGCATGAGGTTTGTAAGTTAAATGTTGAGTCTTTTCAGCACATCAGGTAGCACAGCTTCCTGACTTTGCTAAGAGGCTTTCCAGTTCAGGACGTGAAGAAGCTGAATAAGTTGGATGGATGTTTGAGACACTTTCACTTTTGGGCTGGCAACTCATTTTTAAAATTTTACCAAGTTCCATGTGACAAAATTCAGAATTAACCTACAAACCAAAGCGTGATCGGGACACTGATGACTTCTCAGTCCAATTATCTCTGTTGTTAACTAAAATCTTGAGTTTGTTGTTCTTCCAGGAGGAATTCCTGCCTCTGTACGACATACAGTATTCCTTCCTGTGGGTGACCTTCAGCGGTAAGACAGAGGATGAGTTGTCAGGACATCTCGAGACTGTCAGGGAGTGCGCCAAAAGACTGGGCATGCACTGGGCGCATCGACGGGCATGCTTTCTCCTGGGAAGACTGTGTGCCAGGAAGGTCAAATTCTCCCAGGTATCTGCTTTATATTTACTATCAATGCTCTGTGTGTCTGATTATATGCCATAGTTTTCCACAAACAGACAATTCAAGGCAAACTAGCCTGTAACAAGACACCACAGGATGCTATTCATATAATCTTATGGTCAGTGAAGTTAGCACAATAACACTAGCATTTAAACTGGAGTCAAGGATAAAACACATACAATAAACACAGAATACTACTGTAATACGACTGTAATTCTACACTCTAATGCACTCTCACGTATTGGATGACCAGTTATGACTGCATCTCTTGAAATCATCTCTTACTATCAAGTTTCCATTTCCCCTCAGGCACGTGTTTACTACGAGGAGGCTCTGAGCGTTTCCGTGGACAGTTTCTCAGACACTCCATTCCTCATCGCTCTCTTTACAAACCTCACTGCCGTCTACCTGAAGCAACGCATGACGGACAAACTGCCCCAGACTCTGGAGAAGGCCAGCGCCCTGCTCCTCTGTCTTCCCTGCCACTCCTTCACATCCACAGACGAAGTCGAACTGCTGCAGCTCCTCATGAGGAGATCGGTGGTGTTGGTGGACAAACACCTGGAGGCTCGCATATGCTACCTCATGTCCAGCCTCTTCCTGCTTCTCAGGAAGACTGATGACGCTCTTCCCTTCGTCGAGCGACTCCAGTTTCTCTCAGTGACTATCTCTGCCACCGAGGGCCGACCTATAGTTCCTCTGGACCTCAACTGGCTCTTGAGTTGGCTCTACCATCGCAAATACATGCCTTACTTAGCGCTGGCCTCTCTGAGCCTGGATTCAAGACAAGACCACTCCCTCCACAATGCCTTCCAGAGGGTTGAGTTGTTTATCAGGAACTCTGTTCGTCTGAACCCGTGCTGGAAGGAAGGGACCTCCCTGCTTCCAGCTCAGATTGTGGTTTACTTGCAGCAGGCCCTGGCTATAGCTGAGCAGGTGGATGACAAAAAGACCCAGAGGGATCTGTGCTTGGGCTTGGCCTCAATTTACCAGCAGTACGGTGCTCTGGACAAAGCAGTGTGCTGCGCTCAACAAGCTGTGGAGACGGGAGGCCACATCAATGAGGAGGAGGGCTTTGAGGCTTCTGTGCTGCTTGGGTGGCTGCTGGTGCTGACAGGTCAGGCTGAGAAGGCCCAGAGTGTCCTGCAACCTCTGCTAACATCACTACAGGTACAGCAACTGATGATGAGCAAGGAGCAATGATAATCACGTGGAAAAATGCAGTACTTTTGTATCGACAGTGTTTCTTCTTCCAGATTAATGTCATGTGTAATCCCTGTGTATGTTTCCCTGCAGGGAACAGACTGTCCCACCCAGCGAGGTGTGATCCATAACCTCCTGGCTTTGTGTCTGAGGCATCAGGGTCGCATCCCAGAGGCAGGCTGGCACTTCCACTCTGCTTTGGTAATCTCCAGAGAGAGTGGAAACCAGAGGAATCAGGCCCTGGCACTGGCCAACCTGGGCTGTCTGGCACTGGTTGTTGGGGCATCTTGGGTTGCAGAACGCTTCCTTGTCAGGTCAGATATTTGTCCTTTTATGATTGTTGCAAGGAAGACAGATTTTGCAAAGAGTTAATTATTTTTAATCGTGCCTTTTTTCATCCTAACTAGATCCCTGTGCCTTTTTCTGGAGCTCTGGGAAGGCCCGACAGACGAGGAGCACGTTCAGACCTACCTGTGGCTCGGGCGAAGCTACAAAGACAGGGGGAAGAGACAGGACATCAGGGCGTGTTACGAAATGGGCCTTCTAATTGCACTACATGCCAGAAACTTGCACAGTAAGTACAAGTTGAACCACTTAAAGTGTACGTGTAATCTGATTTAACTGAGCTTAGCCACTGATCCTGACGAGTTTGACAACCCCTTCAGGCATATTTTTCACAGCCACCAGCCCGACACACGGGCCAGTAAACATACACTACACCAACCTTGTAACAACACAGAAAGTAACATAAAGCCAAGTGTAGACTATTAGACCATTTAATCTGGTCGGATACAAGTGTCATCTGCTCCATATTACTGCAGCACAAAACAACAACAAAAAAATATGTCAGTCTTCATAATTCAAACTTAATCAAATTGAAGAAAAAGCATCTGATTTCCATTTGTCTTCCATCAACTAAGCAGTATGTTTGACAGCTAAAGAATGGGGAAAAAAAACTGCTGAAGCTCTGGAAAATGATTATGAGACCATCTGTTGCTTTCTTTTACCAAGTCTGCACAACAGGCGTTCATCAGTTTTAGATTTTGTTTGAATTTTTCTCATAGGTTAAATAACTACAGCATCTGTCAAAAGACATAAAAAGGTCTTATCATAACTCAACACAAGCACTAAAACAAGTTTAAGAACATGAGTATTCAAAATGTCAAAAATTTAACATTTACATTCGAAAAACATTTTTTGAGTCACTATTATTTTGTGCATAAGCTTTATATGGTGGGTCAACAGATAATCCAAAATAAACGATCACTTAATGCCTAAAACAAGCCAATTGTGAGATAACAAAAAGACAGCTGTCAGTGCTTATTACAACTTTAAGATGAAAACACAGTATGGCTTCACTAAAAGCTGCAAAACAGCAGTCACAGTGAAGCAATAATTATTTCCAAAGCTATATTTATTGAAAACTATATTTTTAAAGGGCGCTAATTTATTTTTTTGTTACTTAAGTCCAGCATAAATATGTTTGTGCTCAAATAAAAAACAATAATACAACTGATGGTAGTTAGAGGACCAGACTGGGCTTATTTTTTTCTTATTCAATAGCATAAATGTACCAGAGTACATGTTGTCTGTGGACCAACTTGTGATTTCCATCACTACTTTTCATAGGTCAGATGGTGGTAGCCAAGGCGCTAAGCCGGCTGTACGCTGACATGCTGCTCTATGGTCAGAGCATCGTCTACTACGAACACTGTGTGTCGGTATCAAGAGAGCTGAAGGACAAGAGACTGGAAGGAGAGTATCTGGAAATCCTCAGCAGCCTCTACCTCTCGCTCAACACTGAGAGGTGAATAATTTGCCTCTCCTTGCCACTCAATCAGATTCTCTGTCCATCTTTATCTCAACAACTTTGTTTTATATTCTACTCTTAACTCTAAATTGTGCTGTGCAGATCCTCTCGTAAGTCTCTTGACTACACCAAGCAGAGCCTGAGGATTTCTATTGATTTGGGCAAGAGGGAGGAAGAGTCGGAGACCTGGCTACAAGTGGGACGCATCTATTACCTCATCCACGAGGACGAGCTGGCCGACATGTACCTGCAGGTGAGCACGAAGGATGATATGAGGGTGTGGTGTGGTTACAGGAAGGTGGTGAACATTTTTTAATCATTTTCTTTTCCTTGTTCTGCCCTTTGCTCTTTAATAAAACCGGTATCCGGCGTATGCAGGCACTCCTCATTCCTGAGCAGCAAAGATAGTGGCTTCATCACTTCCTTTCTGAGCTCCCAGTGTTTTGTTTATTTACTTTTACCACCGTAAAAAAAAAGTTTAATAAAGTGTGACATTTCCCTGACAATCACAAACAACACAAACAGCTGAGTTTCACATACGAATAACAGCATGGTTTGACTGACAGGCAGCAGTAAAGACGGCCCTGAGGATGAATGATCCTCACTTTGCTATGAGCATCTATGAGGAGGCAGGAGATGTCTACTTTAAAGGCCACAGGAACCGCATGGCTTCACTGCCTTTCTACAGGGTAAGACAATTCCAAATCAAATACACTTAAACTAGTATCACATGCAGTGTTTTCCACGACAAACTATTAAGTTCTGGTTTGATTAAATATTTTCTTCCTCTTGGCACCACTGAGCTCAACAAAAAAAAAATTGTTTTTCAGGATGGCAGCTTACCGTTTGCGCGGAGCATCAACGACATCCACTCAGAGTTCCGTTTGTTAAGTAAACTCACAGAGCTGTTGATGAACCAAAGAGAGCAGGAGGAAGCTCTGCAGTACGCCAAGCTGGCTGTTCAGGTCGCCAGCAAAACAGGTACGAAGTAGAAGCGTGACCTGAGCCTCAGGGCTTCACTAGGATGTAAATTCACAATGTGCCTACTTTGTTGAACACTTTTTTTTCCTCCTCTCCCAGGAGTGCGTGTGAATGAGCAGACAGCCTACCACCGGCTGGCTACAATTCACTACAACATGCAGCGGTATGAGATGGCAGAAAACTACTACCTGAAGTCTTTGTCTCTGTGTCCGCCTGTCCTGCAGCACCCCATGGAGGCTCGCTACTACACGAAGGTCTACAGCAGGCTGGGAAACCTAACGCTACACAAACTCAAGGTACAGGAGGCGATGTGACTGTGTGGCAAAAGCAAACACAATGCACACAGTGTGTTCCTTCATTTAGTGACTCAGTCTGTAGTGCAGTTATCAACAAGTTTGTCAAGTTTGTCTTTCTCCTCAAACAAGAGTTTCGAGTGGAGTGGAGTTAATTAAAAGGTTTTTAATACATGGACCAAGTCAGAAATCTAGTAAACTTTAATTATTTTAGGTGTTACTGTTTCATGATGGGGCACCCTGGTGGCCTTTAAAGGCACCTACAATGAGACAGCATCTCTGCTTTCATCTCTTTAATGCAAATGCTCCAATACAGGAATTTAAAAATGTTCAAAAAATAAATACATACATTTTTTTAAATAATAATAAAAATGCTTTGTGACACAAATTAAAGTTTGTTATTGTGTCTGTATTTTTTTTTGTGGCTCCGGGAAATAACTGATCTATATAGTATGAAGATAAATTTGTATTTTTCCTAAACTAAATGTTCCAAACCTTTAAACAGCACTAAAACAAATATAAATGAAAGGTTACACCTACATAAATAATTTATTTTTGGTTTCTAAAATCTAATAGATTTTTTATTTTATTTTAAATAAATAAATCTCACAAAGCAGCAAGAAGCTATGTTTTCCACTAAAGATACTTTTGGTCATTGATCAATTTTCATCTTCAATATTTGTCATAAAAAGATGCCAATACATCTCAATATAATTCTAACTTTTCTCTTTCTACCTGCCCTGTTTTAGTTCTTTGCAACAACAACATTGTCTATATAGAGCACAAATTATAATTTGGGGGGTTTTACTTTTTCTTCAGTCTGTTATGGAGCATTTTTGTGCATTTAAAAAAGTCTGTAAACTCACAAAGCCTTAAGTCTACGCCAGAATGAATGAGTCACTCTCACAGAAAACATGGCTCCTTACCTGCCTCCAATGCCTTATTTGTAGTCCAAGCATTTCCTATGATACTTATCTACATCACCATGTAAAGCATTTGTAAAACGCCTGCCGAGCAGCAAGTTTGGGCCTTAAAGAATGAGCAGCTGTGGTGCAATATTGTTCGAGCCAATTCCACTGGAGCTGCATTCCTATAATCACCTATCTGGAGTTATGGTATGTAATCAGTGTTGGTTGGCTTTGATTGGGTCATCACTTTGACCAACCGATCAGGAAAAAAGCAGGAGCTAAAATCAAAGAGAGGTTGCAGCGGTGCTTAGTATAAGGAAAAATAATGTGTTTTTTTAACCTAAAGCATGTTAAAATATTCTAACAAACCCCAAAAATAGAATTATCAGCGTGTGGATGTCCATAAAATGGGCTCTTTTACTTTGTCTGGTATTCTTTTAATAGCAAATGGTGGCAATCAAAATCCAGCTTTCAAATGTGAAGATTATACGTTTAATTTCGATGAGAGCAGCTCTGACCTGTGCTGCCTTTGCAGGATGCTTTTGATGCAGTGAGCTACTTCCAGCTGGCTCTGGCGGCGGCACTTGAGGACCGAGCTAACCCCGAGGCTCTGTATGTGGTGTACATGAAGTTGGCCGAGATCCATGGCAACCACATGCCCGACGCTCAGCTGTGCCAAGTTTACAGAGACAGAGCCCAGAGTCTGAAGAGAGTTTTGGCTGGAGTGGAAAGCGCTGCTGTTGGAGAGGAAAACGCGGATTATGCAGACACAGAGTCTGGCCAAAAGAAGGAAAAGAACTTGGACGCTGATATGGGACACGCAGAAAGTCTGGTTAAGAGAAACGGCATTTCTGATTCCGTACCTGAAGATGAAAGGCGCGATGACGACTCACCTTCAAGAACTCGTGCGACCCGTGTGGACTCAGAGCACAGATGTACAGACGTTAATCTCAGAGATGCTAATGGGAGAGAAGATCACAATCACTATCTCCCTGACGCAGACGGTCCTTATGTGGATGTGTCTGGCTCTGAGACAGAAACCATCGCCAGTCAGTCGTACAGTGACAGCATTTTGACGGAGTCTTTTGATACAGCTAAGGAGCAGATCTCAGACTCCAGCAGCTCCACTGAGACTTTACAAACTCACCAGAATCCAACAGATGGGAAAGACTTTGACACTGACCACAGCGTAAACAGTCAAATACCTGCTAATCACACGAGTGACATCACAGAACACGCAGACGCCAGAGACACTGATTCTGACATTCAGGACGAACAAAACACTCCGACTGCAGACACAGATGCTCATGCAGCAGATCAAAAAGAGCCTGATATTGACTAAACTAAACTGAAGATATTTCTGAGGCTAGCGACACACACAGCAAACGTCATCACACGGTCTTCCTGTGGCACTTTATGTATGTTTTTCACTGACATTTCCATCATCTGGTCACGCGTCTGTTGGCCAGAAAACTGGTTGCCGACTTCCAGTCTCTCATTACGGCACTTATTGTACGAAAGATGATGTCAATATTGTAAAGCTATCAAGGATTTAGTTGATTCAAAGCATGTGCCTTTTCTGTAATATACACTGTGTTAATGATAGCGCACTGTGCTTGTAATATATGTTTTCTACATTTTGTATCTCTGGTAGATATAACAGAAACATAAAAAAAAGATTATTTTTACTTTGCTTGCTGAGTGTTGATTTCATGTGTTTGTATATTTAAATACAAGAGAAACATATTAACCCTGAGGAATACATATATTTTACAAAAGAAAACCACATTATTCACTTACCTAACGTTATTACAACCTTTAGAATAAGCAGTTGCTGTCGTTTTTTCTCAAAAAAAGGCTACAAAATGACCAGAAGAGCTGGGCTTGAACATAAGGAGACAGAGCATTTGTTAGTGACTATATTCGTCATTGGATAAATATACATTTGTTGCACCAGTGAGTATTTACAGAAGCAGAGAGGTGTATGTTAACTGACTAAAAATACACGACAGTGAGAGTTTTCACAAGTCAAAGCGCCAGTTGCAGAGACGTTTAAGACGTATTAGTCGCGTGGGTTCAGAGGCAGCATGTGTTATTAAGATAAATTCATATTTCATACGCAGGACTGGTTCACAGTTAATATAGAATATCAACAGATTTATCCGTTTCAGTAACATATACCAGAGTATTTCACTGGGTAACAAGATTTTTGCTCCTCTGACCATCAGCTAAAAGGCTGAGCAAATTGTTGTATCTATTTTGTACGCAGTGCTTAACAAATTTATTAGACCTCCACACGATCTAAGGTTTATGCCACAGCTGCCCTAAATTAATAGCATTGGTAAAAATCCTTTTTTTTAAATGTTTTCCTGCAATGGTTAAAATACCAGCATGTAGAAGCTCTGTAATAAAATTAGATTTGTAATGCTAAAAAATAATTATTATTGAATTTTTAAATTTACTGTCTTAAAAAAAAAAAAAAAAGAAAAGTAAAGCACATTATTATTTTTTATTAAGATGTCAAATTTTAGTTATTTACTTGCATTCCTGAACAGAAAAATTAGTTTTAGTGGTTGAATGTTATCTTTGATTAATTTCTGACTGTTCAGAGAAGTCCAGTGGCTCAAATTTGGATATAAAAAGGTGAATTCAGTTTGAAATTCCTCATCCCTGTTCAAAACATTGAGAGCCGGAGTGAAGCACTTCATGATGCTGGATGCTCTATACATATATATATATATATACAGTGCTTAACAAATTAGACAGGTGGTCCAATAAATGTGTTCACCACTGTACATCTTTTCACAGTAGTGTCTATATATTTTACTCCTTATTTCACAACAGGGAGTGTTTCCTTTGTGTAACTTGGGGATTTTATTTCCTGATTGTTGAGTTCTGTGACTTAACAATCAAAATTGTTCTCTATACCTCTCACACTTTTCACCCTGAACACATCCAGCAGGAAGATCAACCATGTCTGAATGCTCTCGAGTCTATCGTTGAACTTTAAGTTGTAAAATTTTAGTTGTCAGTTTGCTTTTGTTCTGTATTGTGATATACAGCAACAAAATATCAGTAGAGTTTCATAAAGGCAGTACAAGGACCTACAGACCTGTTAGGGTACGAGAGAGTTTTGGTTTTTACTGGAGTTTTTGAGTTTTTGATGTATTTTTAAAAGCAGACTAAAACTAATGAGTAGCATTGACTTCTTTTTCTCAAAGGCGTTGTTTGATACGCCCAAATATGATCAAGCTCTGAAGCTCTGCTGGAGAATGAACAGCTACAAGACTCAGTTTAGATCTATAGTGCCTCCAAGTCAAAAACTCCCATAAAATGTTTGATAAATTCTGATGAACTCTGACTTGTCATGTTTGAATATGACTTCTTGTCTCCTTTAGGTGACTGCTGAACATCAGGTTGAATTATTGTTGGAAAAGAGTAACGGTACCATGAAAGAACGATGAGTTACTGAGGTCCATACTGAGACTCTGTACCTTCACTGTGCTCATGTCGCACCAGTCCGTCTGTAATCGAGTAACGGGTAAAAGCCGAGAAAAAGCCTCTGTTTCATCCGTGTCTGAAACCTTGTGGAGTTTAAACTGAAGAATTTTGAACAGGATGATGCCAGCCCTCTTTTCATGCTGGTAAGACTTACCAGCACCAGACGACGTACAGTAATCTGCAGTAAATTGCTACATTATGCTGATCTCCTCCTCTAAATATGTAAAAACTGCACCTCAAATCTAATTTCACGAGACAGCGTGCCAGTAAGCATCAGCAATAAAACGAGGGATGTTGAGTCTGAAGCCAAGATGCTTCTCGAGTCCCCAGAGGCCTTACCTCCCGACACACATTTGCTAACAGTTAAACTACTGTGTTTTGAAGGGGTTTAAAAATTAAAGACTGTAGACTCAAGATCATGTCACCGTACTGAGAGAGGAGCAGCAGGAGGCACCCAGCTCCAAACAGCTCAGTCAACAAGAAGTAGTGACAGAGGTAGTTCCCAGAGTCCTGCAGGGCCTCTGGGTGCTTCCTCCTCTTCCCTTCTTAAACATGCAATCTCAGACACTCAGCAAACTGTCTGTTGCTACAAAGGTCACTGATGTTCCCAACGGTGGGGAGCATCATGTGCCATCAGGGATGACATGGTGCTGTCTATCCTAACAGAGATCAGACTGATGTACTTGTAGCAGAAAGAAGAGGGAAAATGCACAGGATAGCCTGTTTTTTAGAAGAAGTAAAGAGATGAATGAGACACACCTGTGAGCTAAACTAACCAAGAGAGCACTTACTAGAACAGAGTGAGAAGTGAGAGTTGAAAAAAACAGAAACCAATTCAGTTTCTGCTCACGTTAGCTTTAAAACTGTGATGCATCAAAAGTAAATGGAGTGACTTTGGAACCAAGAACCAGCTGGATTTGTGAAAGCTTCTGGGTCCATAAGAAACTGTTGACGATGGGCTGTTGGGCGATGACGGATATCTCTGTATTTGTTGGACCCTGGTTAAGATAAGTCTCCTTGTTTTGACAAATCTCCAGCCTTCTCCTCTTCTCTTGCCTCAGCTTAGGTTGCATTTTCCCTCCTACTCACCCCTTTTACCCTCCTTGGCCATACACAAACACCCCATCACATCTGCGACCTCAACGGAAACAAACTGACCTGAATTGAACCAAACTGAAATAAACCAAACTGATATGAACCGAACTGAGCTGAACTCATTCTAAAGGACTGCACATTCCCACGATGCACACGCGGTGCTAATTAGGGAGTAGCAGGAACTTGCTGTATTTTCTAAATGAGCATGTCCTCACATAGTTTAAGAAACTTCTTAAAAGATTTGAAAATCTTGGAAAACAAAGAATTTTTATGAAATACTTTGATAAAGATCAGAAAAAGCTTTGAAGAAGTAAAAACATGGGAGTAAAAGAAAAGTAACTCAGCTAAACTGCATTGAAGTAATTACTGTGAGCTACAAAAGTTCATATTTGTTTGGTTTTTAAGGGAGACTGTGGTAACATTGACCATGTCTTGAATGCACCACAAGAGGGCAGTATCATATTGATTTTGCAGGTTGCTGCACTGTTAAACCCCATCGTGATGGTGCTGTCATTTTCACCAGAGGTGGGCAGTGGAGGACAATGTCTCTGGCTGCAACCTGTGTTACATCAGCTTCCCTGAAACAGGTGAATGAGACAGAGCGAGGCGGGAGAAGAGGAAAAGATTTTTCATCATCTGCCCTCCAATGGCAGCGCTCCAGCCTGCATGCAATGGAAAGTGTCCTCTCCGTCACATTTTGGGCTTCGGTTCAGTTAAAGTCCAGTAATGACATTCATTTGTACAGGATGCTCCTTGTATGACATAAGGAGAGAATAAGAAGAAGGTGTGTTTCTTTTAACTGAGAAACATTTCCTGACTGGATGAGTTTAAAATGCAGCCAATAATATCATGTGATGGTGCTGCTTGACTGCCACTGTGCTCAAGAGCATATTGTGTCTGATGGCATTTCTTGAATCACAGTAGTGAGACATTCACAAGCCTACGTTTTATAGTCCAGCGCTGGCACAGAGGAAGATGGCAGAGTTAGAATGAGAGTTCGAGTGAGGCCAAACAAACAGAACCTGCTGAAGATTAGGTTGTTGTAACCCAACGAGCCAACGGAAAGGAATGTTTGCATACATGATCTGCATGCTGAATAAAGTTCCAAGGCGTCTTCCTTCCCCCCACAGGCACGAGTTTAGAACAAGTTCAAAACAAGTCAGATTGTGCCAAAACAAGCACTGAATTGTTCTTCCTTTTTAAGTATTCCCAGGATTACTTTCAAATGACCCTTAAGGACTTAATAAGTTTATGCTTAACACTCACTTGAATCCTTAAGTGGAGCTACAGAAGCTCATAAACACTGACAACAGGAAAAAGAACAAGTTAAATAATCTCACATGAACCCAAATCTCCACCAATAAAAAAAGAAAATGTCAAAAGACACGTGCACGAAATGAAGAATACTTATCGTCTAACTGTTTGGCAATGGAGAGACTGGATGTTGAATACACCAGCAGCATAAATTAGTTGTCATTTTCTTTGTCGGTACACACCAGGTGACTAACTTCTTTCAGCTCTTAACAGCAGCCTTTTGTACTATTGAGAGAAAACACTTATAAATAGCACGACTTGGAGCTTAGCAACTAGTGGGAGCCTATAACTAGTCTCAACATGTACGCCAGGAATATCAAAAGGCATGTCAGCTGTACAGTATATTTATGCTACTCAACACTGACACACAACCACCAGTGGAATGTAATACATTTATTCATGCACTGCACCGATAAACAAATTTGAGGCACTTCTGCTTATTTAAATATCCCCACGTCATGCAGCTTCATGCCTCTACGCCACGACATCTCAGAGGCTGATATTTTTAATTCCACTGTATTTGTCTGAGAGCTTTAGTTGGTAATTACTCTGCTTGTACACGTTTTTCATACCCCTTCCTGTTGAGTGAAAACTGTGTGTTTCCAAATTTGGAGTGCTAACTGAAGGATTAAGTGTTCCTTTATCTCTGGGTAAACTATTTAATAGCCCTCGTGGATTAGAATGAAAGCTCACTGTTACAAACATGAGAACAGGGCTGTTTTCTTCTGAGCTAAAAAGTTGACTTTATAGAGATACATGATTGTCACAAACACATCTT